AAGACATTTACTCGTAACAATTTTTCTTTAATAGATTGCATAATAAGGCTGGAATATGAATATCTAAATGAAAACGATATGATCGGGTAATCGCAAACACCACATCTTAGATATAAATAAATAACGATTTTCATTATGACATGCCCCAATACATAATCATTGATGTTTCATTTTATGTAATGATTTTGTATGTGCCAGAGAACAAAGTAAAGTTGTGAAAAATGTGTTAAATTCAAAATTACCCTACAATAAGTTTTATTTTTTAATTTTTTACTAATATTATAGATGTGAAAGCGTGTTTGTTTGTTACCTTATAGCGCCTTAACGGTTTAACCAATCACTATGAAATTTGGTATACACAACAACATTACCTAACATTTCATGTTAGGTAGGTAAACCTGATGTAAGTAGGCCTGTACTTACTTACATCCACAGCTAACTATTTATACACAATACGGAGACATTTTTATTTCTTGCATTAGATTTTAGCCGCTATTTCATACGCTTGTATTTCGGAAGTAGAAAAACCAATGAAATAGACTGTTTCCAGATGGGGTATCAAGGTAAATCATACACCAGATTTTTAATTAGACCTCCAGAAACAACTGTGAAAACAACAAACAAAGTTTCTAAAAATATTCTTTTGGTGTCTATTAATTCTGTTAAGAAATTAAAAAAAGATAATGAAGGATACATACATTGTCTGTTTTTTATTTCTCCCCTATACAAAACACCGTCTAGTTATAATGTTATTATAGTAGTAATATAAAATGTTGCATTCCTGATTATAATCCTCTATTTGGATTTTAGAAGCGCAAAATGTACTTATACCGCTCCAAAATTATATTACTCATGTATCTATGCATATAATTTGTTATACTTTCTGAGAATGAAATACGAGAAATGCCTACCTGCCTATAGTTAAGTTCAGATACAATAAGCAAACTTAAATTCTGCACCGGGCAGGATATTATAACGCACGAAGTAGCTATTCAGAAAGTAGACTGACGTCACCCACCGAGCCGGTATTTCCCTCCCCCTCATACCCTACCACCCAGCCTCGCCTCTGAACGCCGCTGACTGCCACTGGTACCTCGAACACACAGACGCAGTCGTTGAGTTTCACACGGAAACGGGTACAGCGAGCGCGGCCATGTTGTAAGAGTAAATGTGGCAACGTCGCACCAGACATCGACCGATTTAATCACTCTTTGGTACCGTTGATTAAATTTCTTGATGTAGCCTATCTAAGCTTCGAGTAATATTTTATTGCAACCTGATAATATACTTTACAACGAATTTACTTTAGTCTCCTCCTAGATATCGATATTGCTTTATCCATGTAGTATTCTATTAGGTTTTACTTTTATTTATTCTATAATATAATCAAATTGTAGGTAGTTATGATAATACCTTGTAATCACAAATTATAATGTGACAAAATACGATTAAATTGGCATGATGTATTTATGTATGTATCATATAGGAAATACTAGGTGTATTTCTTGTCAATATTGTAGCTATAAAATGTGTTAATAATAAACGTCTACCTAAACAGTTCACCTACCGAATACCGCGAATCGTTTGACGAAATTTCCTATGGCTACAACATCACAAATGTAGATCTATATACATAAAAGCGTAGGTAGGTAAAACGAGTCTGACAAAGCGGCAACAACGCTTTACCGGGCGTGTGACCAACGCGGCAACTGCGCATTTTTTGTAGTCTTGCTCGCTCTGGCGAGTCATGTTGACGCGCGCTTCTTGTTCGGTTATACGTGTTTGAGTACTTTTTTACGTAAAAAGAATATTATGATTTAAAATAATAAGAAAACTTTATTAACTGTTCACATTTGATATAGTTTTTATTTAATATATTTTTCAATTAATATTGAAAAAGAATTACATTAAAGACCTATTTGATAACTTATTAATCATTGTTTCTTTAAATACTTTTGATTAATGCCATTAAAAAGAAATAACCTTTTTTATTCGAGTTTAGAGTTAGTTACAGTTAATCTACATAATTTTCGTCAATAGTGAATCGATAATGTTTTTTATTTTTTTTAAAAAGTCTATATTTGTTTCTTTATTATCATATAAAGAAACAAACGTCGATTTTTGTTTCTCTCATGTTTACAGTTTATTATTTAGGAGACTCCTAATCAACAGAGTAATTTGCAGAACATTTTTACGTAAAATATTCTTGTTAATGGCTGGCTGCAGTTCTGTCGATCGAATACCACCAACTGCGTAGAACTCCCAAATATACTGTTGTAACTGCCTCTAGTTTGCAGCCTGTTGTTGTGCGTATTCTCTATTGACAATTGAAATAAAACTTATGAAACGTTTTGTACAAAATATCATAGATCACTTAATAAAATTAGTAAAAAATCGAAATATTCAATTAATTTATCTATTTTTTATATTTACTATTTCTGTTTCAGTCTACAGACTGATTCATGGTCGGGTCGATTATTCGTTTTAAGTTCTATTTAAACGAAATATAATATTGGAATGCACATCGTAGACAATATAGGACTCATGACAATTGATTTTTCGCAAGATCTTTTGCCAAAATACTTTATTAGCTATATTAAAAAAAAAAAAAAAAACATTGTAAGAGCAAAATAAATAGTCAACAGACTATTCAATGATCTAATGGTTTCCAGTTGGTAGTAAGCAGGGCCTATTTAATATTAAGTGTTTTTTGACCAAAAAAGAGCAATTTTTTTTTTAATTATTCAATTTTCTTATTAATTCATTAATTAAAACACATTAATTAAGTAATTTATGAGAACACAAATTTAATTCTAATTATCCAACAGACTTCTATTTGTTATTATTATATTAGCACATAGAATATATAGAAAATAGGCTTCCCCGTAAAAGGGCGGTTTTGCCAATAGTTGCTACGTTTGGCAGGTGGGTTGGCAATCGCAGTTAGGCTTTGGTGATATTTTAAAAGGTACGCTATTGCCCATTATTCGACCATTAAGTTCGCCTATAAAGACACCCTTTAAATAATATTAGGAAAGGTTCTCTACCCTTATACCTGTGCCTGGTCTGACAAAGAAATAGGTACACTTTATTCCGTTTTATAAACAGTAATTTTGGTCATAATAAAATGCACTGATGAATGAAGAATGTTTTGTCGACTAGAGATATTATCATACATTAAATATATTTGAATTTAGAACACGGAAACTTCTCTGTTCTAATACATTTTGCATTTCAACAAGCACCTTTTTGCTTAGCACAGTAAAATGGCCGCTTTAATTTTTTAAATTTAAAATGAAACAAACTGAAGTCAATCCCATCGATTGCAAAAAATATTAAAGAAAATATTACATCGATTTTAGAATTGTCGATGTAATTATTAACATAGCCATGAAAAACAGAAACGAACTGAGGACCTTGTTTTTGAAGTTATTTAAAAATATATTGAAGACCATACATTTTTTTACTATAGTTATATCATAATCTTCATATACTTCATAGCATACGGAAAGAGCATATTCCTTTTAAAAAGGCCGGCTGCACACCTGCAATGCCTCTGGTGTTGCAAGTGCTCATGGGCGGCGGTAGTCACTTATCATTAAGTAAGCCGCATGCTCGTTTGCCTCCTGTGTTATAAATAGTTTCCTTTATTCATTAATCCTTATTATGAACGTGAAAGTGAGTTTATTGGTCACCTCTGGGGGTCTTAACAACTAAACCAATAACTATGAAATTTGGCAGCTATATGTAGGTGTACTATGTGTAGTGGAGATGGTACATAGATGGGCATAGGTTACATTTTATTCTGCTTAGCGAACTTATCCCAGTTACATAAGAAATAGATGCAGATAAAAAGCTAGTGTTAATATAATTTACGGGTTTTTAAAGCACACCTCGAAACAGCCGCTTTCATAAATCACAACTGCAGTGCAGTGGTGTGGGCTGGTGCATTATTGTAAAGCAGACGAACAGTTTTGTATTTTACGTCCCTTTCCTCGGATTAGCTTTCAAGATTTCTCTTAGGTAATTAGCATAATAACTTCACCATGGCATGGCACCAAAAGAATACCTACATTAGGTATTCTTTTATATCCCTGGCCAATATTCCTTGACACAATTTCAAAATCAGCGTTATCAGATTCTATTTATGATTTCTATCCATTTTTTTTTTTCTTACTAATCCAGTCAAAAGAGTTGTGTATATATCACTATCATCATCATCATCTCAGCCATTATCCGTCCATTTCTTATATCACTTATCCATAAATAATTCATAAATCTTTAGTGTAAGGGCATTTTGAGTGCATATTTTGATTAAAAATGAAACTATTAAAAAGTGTAGTTTCTTCCAAAGTAATTTAGAGAATTATTGATCGAATTATTCTACTTGATTGAACAATATATTATAATGGTCTTCCTAACGCAGTGGTGCGTATATTGCTTGCCGCAAATGAGATCCTAAGTTTGATTCCTGGTCCGGTTAAATCTACTAATGATGTGGATGTTCTGAGTTGTGGCTCCATATACTCGTTGCCTGCTTAAGGATTAGCTTTGTATGGCACTTAGGTGTTAATAATATTTGAAATAATAAAACCATTTGCTCAGCAGGGAAGTTACTAATATGCATATTATATAAAACATTACCATACTACCATATCACAACGCGATCTTAAATTATTAATTTACCACACTTAAAAAACATCACTCTACGTTTTGTTAATTATTAATAAGACAATATGTTTTCAACTATCAAGTTCCAGTCAATCAATCAAAGCAGTCCTCAGTCACAAGAATTGAATTAACTGAATATTGCTTTTATACTTTTGTATTATAGACACTTTAAAATATTTCAAAGTCTATGAATTTAATTTTTATTTAAAAATAGCAACACTTGAGGTTCTTGTCTATTCGATCGTATCGAGCGCTAAATAAAAATAATAGTTCTATAAAAATATTTGTTTTCGTTTTTATTTATCAGGTAAATGTCTTTTATGTTACAGCTATGGCCGAGTCCAGAATGTCAAGTTGCTGTGTAGAACGGAAACTGCAAACGCGGTTACTGCCACAAGTAGTGGCTCAAGTGGTGTTTGTGCTACAGTTGCTTTCATGGACATCAAGTCGGCATCGAAAGCACATAACGCAGAGCACGTACTCGATGAACGGACACTCACTACCGAATACTATGAGCCGGCAGCGATACCGTCGGCGGCTGGTGCACCGTCAGCTGGCTCTTCACCCGCTGGTTCCGGTTACTCTGGCTCTTCGTCCTCCGTGAATTCAGCACCAGCTCCCGCTTCCGTTTCGCGTTACCATCTATCGTAAGTATTTTTTAACATATCTTGTAATGAAATCTATGTGTATCGTGTTCCGTTTTTTATTAAAAATACGTGCTTATTACATTCCCATTTGTCTTAAACACATTTTTTTTATTGTCATTTATGATTACTCATTCACACCTAATTAATAGCATAAACTCGGAATATGGTAAACATAGATATCGCTAACTTCTAAATCTATTTTGGTCATGATGTAAATAAAAAGTGCAGTCATTAAATAATATATATCTTTACGCATATTATTAGTTTAATACCATTAAATAATATGCTCATACTTTTTTACATACTTGACCATTAGATTAGTTACGTGAATGCTTGTCACTAAATTGCTATGGCTGCGATTTTGCCTATTGACGGCAGCACAGCAACAGCTTAATAGTACGGTTATGGCGGCGTGGTTGACATTCTACCTGACCGTATAAATACAGCTTTTTGTTGCATTGTCGTGATACATCTAATTTGAATCCCGAAATCCTGAAGAGCATGTCCGGCCTTAGACCTCGCACATGTTTCGGTGCCGCCGCCGCCGCCATTTGTGGATATACGGGCGATCTCTGTATGGATTGCAGTGAAATATCTGGATTGCAGTGCGGAACGCGCATGATGTTATCAGTGACAGTGAAGTGTTAATATGTGACAGTGCCTACAATAAGTGTCTAGATAACGGAGTACAGTGAATTTGGATTGACCTTCTGCGAACGACTGTTCCTATCGCAAGAATTACTGGCTGGCGGCGGCCCCTATAAAGTTTTCATTATGCACTTTGTTAATAACGCTGTGTGTTTTTGTTAAGCACTTTAAATAACAATGTTTCGTCATATTTAACTATTCCATATCGATCAATGTTTGTTAAGTACACTTTTATATATTTTGACTCTTACAATTTTTGATGCTTTGTGTGTGGCTCGTTCGCGTTTTGGTTTACGTGGATTTTATAACATAATATTGGTAAAGGTGATTTGGGTGAAGGTCTACTAGTATGTATACCAAGAATAAAATAATATTTAAACAACGACGTCAAGTATCTAAAACATTTTTTTTATTACAATCTCGTTGTATACATGTTTTTATAGTTTCTAAAAATACTTTTTCATTATACTTAGAATGGCAAACAAGCTAAAGAGATCAACGTTTAGTCAACCAAATGTCACTTTTTTTTGACTGTATTTTGATACATTTTTTTTAACACAACCTTGTGTGCCGTATTTCCGTTTTGCAAATAATGGTCACTTATAATGATTATAGGTATATTCGTAAGTATTTTGTATTGTTTTCATCACATTTTCCTCATATACTGAATAATATTTAATTGACTATATAATCTATAATCCCGATTCACACATACGTGGATAAAATATTCACCTCTTTTTGGCAAAGCATTTGTATGGAGACATTATATCTGTATAATCTAAGGTCGGCACTTAATTATTTACTAGTCATGTCTTGCGACTTCGCCCGTATGCATCAGTACATGAAGTGTCCTATGTCCTAAGTTAGAATATAACTTACCCGTGTCTCAAATTTCATTCAAATCCGTTTAGTTGTTTTTGGGTGAAAGAGTAACAAACATCCATCTTTCCTTAAAAATTTTCATATATTATAAATATTAATTAATAGAAATAGGATATTCATAATTATCAGCTGATATTTTATTCAGGCGATATTTTATTAAACATTGTAAAATAATACCCTAAATTAAGTAATACCATCGAACAAATATAGATTACAAATACAGATGCACTTAAATAAATTAAGAAGTTACATACATCTTCTAAGAGTCGATATTGGTGATTTTTTTTACGTTTGATAGTTGCAGGTAGTAGGTACGAGTGTACACGGGAGTAATTCTATGAGCCTTCGTACTAATTTTGTTATGATTAAAGTCTATTTTTTAACAAAATCTTAAATTGTTAAGTAGGTAAAAGTAGTCGCTTTATATATTACGGGAATCATGAAAGACCTTGGTGAGTTAGAGATACAACATAGAACGAGTGGATATGGCAAGGTTACAAAAAAGCCACTGGTTATTTTCCAAAGTCAACTTATATAATTATTATTACGTAAGTATTAATCGCGTAACAAATAGTCCTTAAGTTCCTCAAGGGTCTAATACATTTTAATAAACGTTCAATAACAAATTGAATTGAATTGATCACAAATATATTAATCATTAACATTTATCTAGAGATTTTTGCATGGACTTGATTAGTAGACGACTCCAACATCAACGGGTGTTGTTGGAGATTTGTCTCGTCTCGTGGTTTATTGTAAAGCCTTTCGTTTTCCTTGCTGTTGTCTACTGTACTGTTAATTGTGGTCAAAGTACAGCAGATTAATGTAGATCGAAGGTAGTACACCATCATCTACTTTTTATCAGAGTTCGAAAAAATCTAATTATTATAATAAATATCAAAAATCCGATTTGTTTATATATATCCGATATATATCAGATATACATCCAGGCTAAAAAAAGAAGCGAATGTCATAAAATAAAATAAAATAAGTATCAAATTATTACTACATTTATTATTTAAAAATAACTTTTAACAAGTAACAAAAGAATTACTTAATGTTTATTTGAGAAATATTTTTTGAATGAACAATTAAAAAACAAGTATCAATTATTATAATAATAATCTTCATTTCTTTGTGAGATAAATCAACAAATTTTAATAATTGTAATCATAAAAGTAATCATTCAGCGTCAGGCTTTAAGCATACGAAGATGGATTGAAAAGTTCGCGGCCTCAGTAAGAAAACAATATAAAATATAAACAAAAGTAATTTTATTTTTCCACGTAATCTCCACCTAACTTAATGCACTTTTTCCATCTGGTTTCCAACGCCTGTATGCCAGTCATAAAAAAGTTTCTTTAAGACCTTTAAAACAATCACCCACCGCAGTTTTGATCTCCTCATTTGATGAAAATTTTTGACCTTCAAGGCGTTTTTTTTAGGTTTGAGAATAAATGAAAGCCTGTACCAAATCAGGGGAATAGGCGGGATGGGGCAGTAATTCTAATAATAAATTAACAGACGTGTGAACGCGTGCATTATCCTGATGGAACAACACTTTCTTGCTGAGTAATCCTGGCCTTTTAGTGCTGACGTAAAAGGGTGCAGTAATATGCCGACTTTATAGTTTCACCTTTTGCAAGGTTGTCCACCATGATGACACCCTTAACATCCAAAAAACCTGACGCCATCACCTTGCCCGCTGACATAATTGCTTTGGCTTTTTTTGGAGTCGGTTCATCAGGTTTTTTCCACCGCTTGGATTGCTGTTTTGACTCTAGGATGTAGTGGTATACCCAGGTTTCATCCATTGTCACAAATGTGGCCAAAATATCTTGTGGATCAGCCTCAAACATTTCCAAACCGTCACGAGAAATTGTGAGCCGTATTCGTTTTTGTTCAATTGAAAGCAATACCCACCGCGCAGAAACCTTAGAAAATCCAAGTTCATTGACTATGATGTTTTGTGTTCGTTCATACGAGATGCCAATAGTGTCTGTAATCTCCCTGATGGTCAATCTCCGATCTGCCAACATCATATCACAGATTTGCTCGATGTTTTCTTCAGTCGTAGACCGACCAGAGCGAGGGTCATCTTCAATACTCTCTCGTCCGCGTTTATATTCTGCAACCTTCTTTTTCACAGTCGTATATGACAGAGCAGTTTCCCCCAATGTTGTTGACATATCTTCGTGAATCTCTTTTGGAGTTAGTTTTTTTTAAACAGATATTTGATGACCGCACGTTGCTCAATTTTCTCCATTCTTTAAAAACGCTGCACTTAGGCTCATAAAATTCAGTCTAATTTAAAAACAGATAATGTTATTGATAGAATTTTACAGTGTGATAACTAGAAAGTAAGCAAATCGAATGAGGTCAGTTACATTAAAATAGTTTAAGTATTTATGTGTTAGGCCGCGAATATTTCGATCTACCCTCGTAGATCTATGAGTGGGACATCATCTGGCTTCCAGTCCCAGTCAACCTCTGTTTCTTATTTATTTATTGGAAACCAACGGCGTTACAGCTAATATTTACATACTAGTATTTAAAATATTAAGGCTAATAACAGGTTTCTTATTATTCTAAAAGTATAAAATTGGTTAGCTCAAAAAAGGAAAAGTACAATGCAGACATGCAATCACAAGACACTCAAATTCAAATGTTTACCAATGCGAGGAGTGCTCAATAGGGTGAGACGATATTTCATGCCAGAACACCGCCTGAAATTATATAAAGCCCAAGTCAGGCCGCATATGGAATACTGTTCTCACCTGTGGGCAGGAGCGCCACAGTATAGACCGCATTCAAAGTCGGGCGGCTCGAATTATCGATAGTCAACGCCTTACTGTCCGACTTGACCCATTGAAACTGCGCAGAGATGTTGCGTCTCTGTGCATCTTCTACCGAATTTATCATGGGGAGTGTTCTGATTGTTCGGATTGATACCTGCTGCTGATTTTCACCACCGTACAACCCGCCACAAACTAAAGTTTCATCCCAATCATCTGGACGAGTGGCGGTCTTCCACCGTGCGTTTTTCAAGGCACTTTCTTTCACGTACAACCATTCTTTGGAATCAACTTCCAGCAGCAGTATTTCCGAACCGATACGACAACATAACCTTCAAGAAAAGAGTATATTCCTTTTTAAAAGGCCGGCAGCACACCTGCAATGCCGCTGGTGTTGTGGGTGATCATGGGCGGCGGTAGTCACTTACCATCAGGTGAGCCGCATGCTCGTTTGCCCCCTGTGTTGTAAAAAAAAAAAAAATGCATGTATGTAACAATATATTCAGTACTGCTATATTTATTTTATACATTTATAAATACAACACACCACAATCACACCGACCCTAAGATTTTACTTAATCACCTAATTAACTTATTGATTATAATCGTCACTCATAGTTCTTACAACAAACCCATTTGAGCCAACGCGGATCGATTGTGTTCATATCTAGGAGC